TCAGATACATCATATAATCATCACAACAATATACTAATATCGTTCTTCATTTGTTCCTTCACTAATAATTACTCATCACTAAATCACCTTTATAATTATTCATCGTTGTTGTCACTAAAACATTATTAAATATTGATATTCATTAACTTCATTATTATAGGTGTTTATATTCACCGCTAACCCAAAAGGAAAAACACCCTATTCACTACTAACGTGACCGGCTCGACCCAATGCGCTAAGTGAGGCGTAAACCTTACTCGTAACATTGTCCCCGGTGTGTTGCATTTGTTAATACGACGTTGCATACACAAGTACACACATTGTCGTTCAAGAGTGGTAGTTATTGTTATATTTCTGACCTTAGATATTTCCCACTCGAACGTGATGTTTGTGTTGGCTCCACCGTATAGCCAACATCATTCCAATCTACCCACCGCAGGGACCATGTACCGAATGGTTGCCTAGAAAAACCACTTGACTTCAGTGTTGGCTTAAGTACTTATCCAATTGGTACTCTTTCAACCTATTAAGCCATCATCCAATCCAGATAGGGTACACACCTAAGTCAGGTTGCTACCCTCGCCCCTCTAAGTATGTTTCCATATTATTAATTTATTATTAATGTACATACAATAAGGCCATCCACATTTCATCATTTACACATCACTAAATAATCATGCATTACACATCATCATGTTGTCAAGGTATATCATATCATTGGCATGCATCGTCCTAGCATCATAGACAATAAAAATTCCAGAAAATCACAACATGCATACATCAGAACCCACAATTAACACATGTACCTCTTTCTAGCATGAACCTAATCACACAACTCACACCAAATCATTATAACAAGAGTATAACATGCAATACATCCTAGAATTTCTCCCACAAAAGAGGTTGACATTTCCAACACATAAATCATTCATAATTAGGGCACATAAATCCTATAACAACCTAGGTTCGATCCACACATTCTAGGATATGAAATTTCTCCAACAAGGTACTAGATTTGCATCATAAGACGACTCATCTCTAGTCTAATTTATGTGGAGTAATGAACAGAGGAAGAACACCCTCCAGGAAGGAATTAAGCACCCTAAAAAGTACACAAGAGTTCTATAAAAAACAGGCTGCAAAACAGAAAATGAACCGCTCTACCTAGAAAGTGCGCCGCAGGCAGGGTAGGGTCGCGCCAGGGTTTTGACATCAGGTCGCGATCAAGAAACATGAGCCCCCCCGTCACCGCGCCATAATTTTCGGTCAGCACGTTGTAGGAAGGTTGACAGTCATAGAGATGTTTTCTGATCATCCGCTCTCTAATGTCCAGTTCAGGTCTGATCAAAACCTCCTTTGAGATGATTATAACCCTCCAAGACCACGACTAAGTGTTCAAGGCTGCTGAAAAACTTTAAGGGTCAATCTAACACTCTACACCAAGGATTACTCTTGAGTGTTCAACATATGGTAGAAGATAACTTAAAGGAAAGCATCACATACCTCCTAGAAATTCCTGGTCTCCAATAGATGAGATAAGAGGGGAAAGAAACCCAAGAACACCACCCAATCCTCCACCAAAAATGGTTACAAATTTTCACAAACACCTTAAGAATGGAAACACTTAAGAACTCACACTCTCCTAGGGTTTGATGGTTGCAAATGATATGATAATCCTGGATTTTAGGGCTAGGCTTGGTTAAATACTTCATAACTTATCATTTAGGCCCCCAAAGTAATGAAATAACCCCTAGACCCATAAACATGATCAAGTATCATTTTGCTACACTTTGGCCCTCCAAAGATTTTTTTAACGAAGATAACAGTTAACTTAACAAAAGAACATAACATAAACAAACCTTGATGATTAAACGGGAAAATCAGATCGGTACAATCCTCCGCTCCTTACGAGGATTTCGTACCAAAATCAGGAACCAGAACAAACAGACTAGGATAATGATCCCTCATGTCATCCTCAAGCTCCTAATTCATATCGCCACCATGCTCATTCTTCGATAGGACCTTCACGACTTTCACCCTCTTCTTGCGCATCTGCTTAGTCTCACGCTCCAAAATAGCTTTTGGTTCCTCCACCAAGCGTTTCATCTCATTGACCTGCAATTTGTCCAATGGTAGCATGCTAGGCTCCTTTTCTAAGTACTTCCATAGATAGCAAACATGAAACACATCATGAATCCCCTCCAGCTCTAGTGGTAATTCCAGTTTGTATGCTTGATCTCTGACTCACTCCAACACTAAAAGTGGACCAATGAAACGTGGTCCAACTTTCCTCGCTTGCCAAAATGGATAATGCTCTTCCAAGGTGAGACTTTCAACATTACTTTCTCACCCACCTAGAAAGTCTTTGGTCGATTCTTCTTATCTGAATACTTCTTTTGCCTTTTACGGGCCACTTGTACACGATCTCAAGCTATCTTCACCTTATCCCCTGTGATCTACACAATCTTTGAACTTGCGAACTGATTTTATCCCGGCTCCAACCAGCAAGTGGGAGTATGGAACCTCTTCCCAGAAAACATCTCGTACAATTCCATATCAATAATGGCATGATAGGTGTTATTGTAGGCAAACTCCACCAAAGGTAAGTAAGTATCCCAACAACCCCCATACTCAATAACACATGCATGCAACATAACCTCGGGAGTATGAATAGTCCTCTTACTCTGCCCATCAGTTTGAGGATGATAGGATGTGCTCAGATGCACCCTCATGCCCGACTCCTCCTAAAGTTTCTGCCAAAACCTCAAAGCGAAACAACTACCACAATCTAGGATAATAGACAATGGTACCCCATGCCTCGTGACAACCTCTTTAATGTACAACTTTTCCAGGTTCTCCAACTTCTCATTCTCCTTGGTTGCCCAAAAGTGAGTAATTTTTGTCAATCGATCCACAATTACCCATATCATGTCATTACCTCGATAAGTCTTTGGATTTTGTAACAAAATCCATCGTGATCTTATCCCACTTCCACTCTGGAATCTATAGTTGCTTCAACTATCCATATGATTTCTGGTGATCGGCTTTGACTAAAGAGCAAGTCACGCACTCAGCCACATGCTTTGCTATTTCTCTCTTCATACCTGGCCACCAATAGTTGGATTTCAAGTTTCGATATATCTTTATAGTGCCTGAATGAATTGAATACTTTGATATGTGCGTGTCTCGCAACAATATGTCACGAACACCATCGACTCTAGGGACCCAAAGTTGCCCTCGAAAAGTCCTAAGTCCCCACTCATCTTCTACCAAAAGAGCCTTCTGCTTAACCATAAGTTCACTATTCACATGCTCTTCCTTCAAACCTTCCCCCCGATTAGCCTGAATCTACTAAAAAAAATACCTGGAACAACTACCAACCCCATACATTTCAGGTGATAGTTCCCTCCAGGCTCCTTATGACTCGGAGCATTGACTACCACATTTTCTTTCTAGGGTGGTAACTAATCTCGCAGTCATAATTGGCGAGCAACTCATCCCAATGCCACTATCTCATATTCAACTCCTTTTGCTTATGGGCGCGTTGCAAACTTTTATGATCAGTATATAACGTACACTTCATCCCGTACAAGTAGTGACAACATAACTTGAGTGCAAACACCACTGCTGCCAACTCCAAATAATGTACCGAGTAATTCATCTCAGCACTCTTCAACTGTTGGGAAACATAAGCAATCACCTTCCCTCTCTACATCAAAACACATCTCAACCCAAAGTATGATGCATCACTGTAAATTACGAAGTCCTTATTCCTCTTGGGTAGAGAAAGAATATGAGCCTCACATAGAAGATCCTCCAAGGTCTGCAATGCCTCCTCTTTCTTATCCGCCCAAATGAAAGGTTTTGGCTTGATCAGTGGACCAACAATCTTGGAGAAATTTTTGATGAATCTCCGGTAATAACCTGCCATGCTCAAGAAGCTCTGAATGTTAGTAGGAGTATTTGGATTGCTCCACTTCTTAATTGATTCAACCATTGTTGGGGTCCACTTTAATTCCCTCAGCTCCAACTATATGTCCAAGGATCTAGACCTCGCTTAGCCAGAATTCACACTTGAAGAATTTCACGTAAAGCTTCTCTCTTCGTAGTGTGTCCAACACTTATCGTAAATGCCTACGAAAGAATGTGAGAACACTATTTTGTGTTCATATGTTTAACTAAGCGAAAGAAAAATCTTGTTCATGCTCATTCATATATCAAATAAATGAACATAAATGAACTTCACACTGGACATTTCATAAATGTTTTGTTGAACGTTTAATATGTTTACAGGCTTATGCTAGTGCAATTTCCTTGACCATAGCATGCGACTTCATGTCTTCAAACATAATACGACAAATTTTCCATACAAAACTATTTATCCGGAAAAGCTATGCCTAGATATTGCTACCAAGCATGTATACACAACCAAAAAATCTAACAAAGTCCATAAACATGTTGTCAAAAAGTATAATATTGATACAAATTTTGTTAGACTTATAAGATACCAATTTTGCCTAGGGATAAGATCGGTCCATTATTGGTACCTAAACAATTAGTAGACTAATGGTAGGACCAAATATCAAACCGTATGAACAAGTTTGGTACTTGTTCGGTTTCGGGATTGTGACCGGGAGTCCGGGACTATGAAATTTGGTAATAGGACCACTTAGAACAAAATTAAGAACATAAAAATAAAAACACTAAATAAAAAAAATACTAATATAAACCATTTGTAAACCATTCCAAAACTACTGATAAACCAATGGACTAAGCAGGGACTCTAGAAACTGTTCATCACAGTAATGGTATCATCACAATGCAATATAATCAAAATCTTTTATACAAATTCTTTCAATGTATTCATTAATCATTGGTTGCAGAACATTCCATCAAAATAAAATCTCCACAAAATGAAGAAAGAATTGAAATGTATACACATATAGAATGTATGTGTATGTATTATGTAAGTAGATACATATACACAATGTAATCCAATTACCACATACACCCATAAATCAAGATCTCGACAAAAGCAGTCATAAAAACCATAAGAACAGGAAACAAGATTCATCACCAAACTTAACCATATAAAAGTTGCAGATGAATTTTATACAATCAACACACTTACATTACATTTTAAAAACTCCCCTCTTTGCTTCCTTTTTCTTCTCTTTCTTGTGTCTTATGGTATTAAATATCAATCATCAATGGTGTGAAACCTCAATCTTCAATTCCATTGTTGACCTTAATTTCCAAAAGTCTCTCAACTGGTTGCCTGCATATTGGGCATCGATTTGTTTGGAACCTCAAAACTTTCGCACACCCATTGCACATACACTGAAACACAACCAAAATGTGTATAAATTATAAAAGATTTTACTTAATAAGTTGTTTTTAGATATAAAAATTCGATTTTGATCAACAATACCATATGTCGACATGGAAGAACTGTGGTGTCACGAGGTTCTGATAAACAGATAACACATTCTTTACAAGGATCGTTCCCATCGTATTCACCACCATCAGCGGAATTCCCAATTCCATAGATCTCTTGTAACTCGTATCTGATTCCATTCACCCACAAGATCTGTTTCAATACTTTTACTTTGTATTCACCTTTATCGTTCTCAAATACGGCATCGGTTATTTGGGAATTATTAACACCGGAATCCGGATTTCTGTTTTCCGATGAAGAAGAAGAAGTCAGTGTCTTTGTCGCTTCTGCTTTCACTGCTAGAGGGTATACAGTCGTTTCGTTTCCTTTAGATAGCTCTGATTCCTCATACGTTGATAGGTCTATTCCTGTTCCTGTTTTTTGCCTAAATTTCTGACCTAAACCTTGTTGGAAGCTTACTGTTAATGGCGGAAGCGAGTCTTCTTTTGTTGTCGTCAAGTTACAGTCTTCGCCCTCTTTCGCGAAGAAGTAGAGGGTGATGTTGCATGGAACAGTGGCGTCGAAGGTGAAGGAGACAAGGAATTTGCCAGGGTTCTCTTCATCAGCTTCGATTTTTAAAGTTTCTTTCTTGAGGTTGACATCGTTTCTTATGGTGACAGCTTTTTGATGATCGACATAAGGTGTAGGAAGGTGCATCACAGGCGTACAGGGGTATCTCCCACCGACCCACGCCGTGGCGGCGGGGTCCATGGGCATACGTTGGTGTTGGTGGTGTGGTGGTGGCAAGGGCGACGCTGGAAGTGGTGGTGGTGGGTAGTATGGTCCGGTTGGATACTGGTAATAGGGTGGAGGTGGGTTAGGGTATTGGGAAGTGTAAGGTGTGGCCGCGGCGTATACGTATCGATTGGCGATTTCCGGTTGGGGTGGTTGTTGGTGGTGGTGGGTATGATGATTACCCCGCCTGCTGCTGCTTCCGCCGCCGTGCCTCCTCCGGCCGTTGGAACTGTTACTTCCAACGTTACCCATGGTGGAAATTAAATTGATAATCTTCCAATCACGACAAAATTGAGAACCAATGATCAAATTGTGAGCAAATTCGTGTTATTAAAATCTAAGATAACCCAATTTCTTAAAATGGGGATGAAATTGAAAATTGTGGAAATAAACTCTGTTTGGACTGTTCTTCAAATAATCAAGAAACACATCATAATAGCAAAATTAAGAGTTCGATATAAAGAAAAGGGAAAAATGACCAAATGGGTAAAGAATTATATGAGAAAGTATAAAAATTTAGGCACCGATTTTGTAGAAAACGAAAGGAAGATGGTGTGTGTTCAAGGTGTTTGTGTGTGAGAGAGCGTCTGTGTGTGGGGAACGAATAATATGATGATTGGTGGTTGCGTAAAGAAGACAACTCCACTCCGGAATAACAACTACACAATGATTTTATTAAAATTAGGTTTTCATCATTTTCTTGATATTTAAATCATTATTTTTATGAATGTTTATCATTTTTTATTTGTAAATTCAGTGACTTTGGGCATTCCATTAAACTTCTTTACATAAAATAAGATTCACCATTTCTTTTAGGAAACGTTTAAAAGCGTGAATACAGGGTATTGGTTCCAATTAGGACACGAAGTAGAACAAGGGCCATAACCCTTGGCAAGGGACATGAGACATAAATACGATGCTTAGGAGACATGAAGCCGAAAGAGAGTGTCATAAAACACCAAAATAGAATGTCCAACATTATTTGACACTCAAAAGAAAAGCAAAATCAAAATTATAACATATTTAGAATCCAAAACCAATATAAAAGATGATTGAATAACAAGAGTCAAGTTAAATAGTTCCAATTTCAAGTTTTAAAAACCCGGTGCAACTAATTGACATCCAATCAATTTTTTTTTTCTGCATAACGAGACGTGTTTTTGTCGTATCTACTTTAAATCTCACAATAGATTATATATTTTTTAGCTCAATACATATCGATTGAAGGCAAACGGGCAACAAGCTGCACCGCTAGCCCTTTCTGGATGACAAAACCAATTCTTTTAAAAACAACATTTGTGGATCTAGGAGATATGACATTAGAATGCATGACCCGTTGGACTCTATTGAGGAGCTCCACTGCCTCTGGTGCGAGAAAACCAAATGTATCGAATGCAAAATGAACAAACACATGTTGATTTTCTAGGGCTGTGCATGGGTCGGTTTGGGTCGGTTTTGGACCCCAACCCAACCCAACCCGTAAATGATCGGTTTCTGGTTTTCAGAACCCAATAGGATCGGTTTCTGGTCGGTTCGGTTTCTCGGTTTCTGATATCGGTTTGGGCGGTTTCTCGGTTTCTTGGGTTCAACCCATACACTTACGGTTTCTGGGTTTAAACCCATGGGTTTTGGGTTTGAACCCATTTTCCAGAAATGGAACAATTAGTTAAATAATTCAAAAAACACCTAATTGAAGTTAAATACTTCAAAAAACATGAGTTTTACAACCAAACTGTCTATTATAACCAAACACACAATCAAACTAAAACACAAAGTCCGAAATTGTCGATTAGACGATTACAACCAAACACACAATCAAACTAAAACATAAAGTCCGGAATAGTCAAATAGTCGATTACAACCAAAAGTCCAAAACACGCAAACACAAATCTTCAATCCACATCCATGTAAATCTCTTCCATATATAAAGTCGTCATATTTTTAAACTGGATATCAATTGGGGTGTCCCGTATCCAATCTTGTGCGCAAATTAAAGCTTCGGCAGTCACATGTGTAAGGGAGCTTCTACGGCATCTCGATCAAAATGTTGTCATACCCACGATACTCTATGACCACCACCCTTATTATCTGCAACTTCTTCATCTCCTTCATCAACATCAAGATCAACATCAACAGTTTGTGCATCTAGTTGAGACTTTTCCATCTACATAGAAAAAAAACAATCAACAATCCATATGTAAACCAAAAGATTTCAGGAAATAAGAAGCTTCAATTCAGCAAGATTTAAGCAATATTTATCAACATTTCACAGCAAGATTTATCAACATTTCACAACAAGATTTAAGCAATATTTCACAACAAGATTTAAGCAAGATTTAAGCAAGATTTCACAGCAAGATTTATCAACATTCAACAGCAATATTTAAGCAAATTGACACAAAAGAGGCACATTACACAAAACTAAGTGAGGAACGAAATCAGAGGTCACGAACCCAAATCAGGTTCACAGCAATATTTAAATGCTTGGAACGAGGTCACGAACCCAAATCAGAAAAAAAACGAAATCAGAGGCAAATTGACAAAAAAGAAATAGAAATCAGACACATTCTACATGAACACAACATTCACTCATTCAGAACATAAACACACAGAAATTAGAAAAAAAAAACGAAATCAGCGACACATTGACACATTCTACATGAACACAACATTCAGAAATCACAACATAAACACAGCAAGGGAAATCAGAAAATAAACACAACATTGAAATCAGAAATCAGTTGTAAACGAGGCACATTACACAAAACTAAGTGAGGAACGAACCGTATTTGACGATTCAGAGGCGTTGCAGGTCTTGTTGGTGGCGCCGGAGGTTTGGGGTTCCGTTACTGCGTTACAGGTCTTGTTGGTGGCGTCGGAGGCTCGGAGCCTCGGATGTGTGCGAGCGGCTGAGCGCCGGAGGACGGAGGACCTTCACTTCACTCTTCAGTCGTCTACTCATCTTCAGTGGGATGCGCCGATGGGGAATGCGAGACTGCGAGTAGTCGAGTACCAAGTAGGGCAAAACGAAAACGGGAGTAAATGACCTAGGCTTCTTTTATTTATTTTTATTGTTTTTAATATACATATATATATATATATATATATATATATATATAAACATAAAATAATCAGTAAAAAGCATCGGGTTTGCGGGTTTACTGGGTCGGTTTCTCGATTTTTAAAGAGGGGTCGGTTTATCGGGTTGTTGGGTCGGTTTCTGGATGCAAAACCGAAACCGAACCCGAAAAGTCGGTTTTTACAAATTTAAAACCCACACCGTCGGTTTTGATTCGGTTTCGGTTTTTTCAGTTTCGGTTTCGTCGGTTTCCGGTTTCTTGGTTCGAGTTTGCTCACCCCTATGATTTTCTATACATGCATTATCGTGCTTTACCACTTTGCACGTAACGGCTTTCAAAGCGGCATGCCCAGCTGTGAAACCCCCGCTCCCCAAACCAACGAGAGGAGAGACCCCAGTAAGATCCACGCACGCATGCTTCCCTCCTATCCATCCAATCAATTTAACCAAACTATGATAAGATGTTAAGTTGTCATTTAAAAGATTTTAAATGAGAGAAAACAATTCTATTAAACTTTATAAAGTTTAATATATAGTATGAATTAAATTGTAGAGTTATATATCACTTTCAAGAAGTCAAGCTGGCATAGTGTTGATCATTTGGTATGAAATCCTTCAAAATGAAATTGATCCAAATTTGAATCCTAGAAACTTGAACTTTTGAAATGATATCTCATTTAAAAAAATTATTAGAGTTATATGAAAAGTAGAATGTTGGTTTTCACAATCCAATTAAAGTTTATTGAATTGAATACCTCTTTTGACAATCCATTAAATTTCATCAGTAAATGCCTTAAATATACTTCAAACAAAAGGTATGTAACATTTTCTTATACCTAACATTTAGTGTGCCACATATCTCTATCGAAATATTGTATGCCATGGACATTTATTGATTGCTTATTTGATATTTTAAATTTTAAATTTTAATTATTATTATTATTATTAGGGTAGAAGGAGTGGTGCCACAAAAGCTGCACTCCCTTCACTGTAACGTAAGCGCCATCTCACCATTTACTACAAAAATATTGTTTCATATCACACACAATGAGTGATGCCACACAATGATTTTTTTTTGTTTAATAAATAAATACTATCTTGTTAATTAAAAACATAATATTTCATTAAATAAAAATAAACACACTACATTACATTTAATTGAAAAAAAAGACATAACATCACATTAAAAAAAATCCTAAGACTTAAAAAAAAATAAAAATAAAAATAAAACTATAAATCTTGAACCTAATAAAAACACTACAAATCTTGATTATTTCGGTTGTTTGAGGAAACATTTTTATAAACTTTTGGAATTGAAGTTTGTAAAAGATGAGAGAATTGAGAGAGATTTGTTAAAAAATTGATGGTATATGTATGTATATATAGTGGTAAAGTGTAAGAAAAAAATAAAAAAAAATAATAATTAATTTTGAAGTTCGTAAAAGAAGCGCTCACTTCCACTGCCGAACTGCACTCTTAGCCGTACCCTAACCGCACCCAAGGGGCGGTGTTCCAGTTGATGTATCAAGAAGACTACGGTCTCTACCGTAGCAACTCCCTTGAGCCTTCTTATTATTATTATTATTATTATTATTATTATTATTTTGCATTCTCTTCGGTCGTCAATTGGTGAGGGGCATATCATAATTGTCGCCTTCAAGTAGATACTATGAGTTCACCAAAATATCAATAGGTGAGGGCTATATCATTGTCAACTTAAAGTAGATATTATTTGTTCATTAGTCAAATCCCTGTCAATTTATGTAAAGATGATGAAGAACAAAATTGGATGGATTGGAGTTTGGAATTTTTCGATTTGTTTTTTTAGCTTGTTTGTTGAATTCTTCTGTCATTTCAAATGTGAATTCAAACTTCATCATTTGATTGGATATATCAATAAGACACTCAATTTCATACTAGATGTAACAGATTATTTAATGAAAAAAATTACTCGTTCATCAGTCATTTTACCCATTCTTTGATATTCATCACATGATTTACATTTCCAATTTTAAATAGGTTTATTACAAGAAATAATAGTTTATGAAATTATAAATGATATTTAAAAAAATATACTACAAAATATATTATGCATAATAAAACAAATTGTCATAATTTAAATTATCAAAAAATATTTATAGAAAGTTCATTCGGTCACTTTTTGGGCTAAATACATGTAGCAATAATGTATTTTTTTTTTCTTGTTTACCTTTTTATAGCATTGTTTTTTACATTTTTATTATATAACCCTACTTTTAAAATATTTACTTATCATACTATGGTCGTGACTTATCCAGTCGTCTTCTCCGGCGAGCCTCCGACAAAAATGAGTTTTTTGGTTGACTTTTCTTAGCAACAATGAATACAAAAACTAGAAGTTTTGAAACCAAGTTTGAACAGGAGGAAATCAACTCTTCTTGTGTTCATTCTTCATGCGAACTACAACAAGAGAAAAACGGGTCCTTGGGTCTCGGCTGGATTTCGAATGAAAGGAGTAACATCAAAACAAACTAAGGTGGTGGTCATGATGACTTACAACAGCAGCAAGCAGCAGGAGATGGTGATGGTGGTTTACCGGAGGCAAATGGGAGGTGACA